TATATAGTACATAGCACCACACATTATTGGACTGTATTTTTTTAAAATAAATGAATATGTAAAGAATTGTTTCTCTTTTGTTTGGGGGGAGGGAGAGGTGACACGCCAGCAGAATCAAGTTAGGCATTTTCCGAATTTTTGACATGCTGAGCCCAAAAGCTTCGCCATCACTGATCTAGTGTGTGCCATGTAGCTGCTGACCAAACAAGTTGAATGACAAGTCATTTTAAATCTGAATTTAAATGAAATGTATCCATATTATCACTTGGGGGGAGGGGTTCTTTGTGAACACTTTATAATAGCATTTTTTGACTCAGTTCAGACAAGTCTTTTGGCTATGAGATATGTAGAAATATAACATTATCAGCTTGTCATAAGGCTGGCAATCAAAATGGGTATTAAATATGCAACATATAAAGGGTATTTTGAATTTGCAAGATGGATTAGTAAGGACATATTACACAGAATGGAAAGCTACCTCTATTTGACTTCTTAAAATGTAGTTGGCACTGCAAGGACCAAAGTATGACTCACAACATATAGAGAGTTCCTGCATGTGGCCCTTTATGGTCAAACGCAGCTAGTGGTGCTTCTCATTCTGACTGGGAGTATTTTCCCATCTCTCTAAGTGAGCCAGGCAATCTAATGAGCCTTTCAAGTCAGTTCACCCATAAAGTGACCAATCCCAGCATATCTTGGCACATGATGCGCATTAGCCAATTGGGAGGCTGGAGGGGTTAGAAGGATTCATAATTTCAGCTGTCTGGCTGAGCATGGAAAAGCCCTGTTGGCCTTGTGTGCCAGGAACTTGCCGTCTCAAAAAAAATTTGTATTCGGATTTATACAGTATAAATCAACTCTTCATTTTGCATGGCTATTGATTTCCAACAAATTGTCCCTCGCTATCATAAAGAGAGCATTTATATAATTTGGGGGATTGTACGGGAAGAAGATGCAGTCCAGTGCACCTCTTTTGGACTTGCCTTCAGGGAACATGAAGAGATTCCACAAATATGATTCCACAGTTCTTCCCTTCAGATCATTCAGTTCTCATTCCTTGGAACTGGGAATTATTAGGTGCTGTTAGGGTAGGAATTTAAGGCAGAAATAAAAAGTCCTGCTCAGCAGGGACCCCAGTGCAGCAGGGCCATGTTACCATACTTTAAGTGGTTGCACACATCATCTAAAGAGGAAGATGTTTCAACCATAATGTCCTGAGTCTAAAGTGATTGCATCAGTGGCTGAGAACAAATAAAAAAACCCTAGTTTCTAGCATCCCCATCTTAACGTCTCTGTCTGCAGTATGGATTTAAATTAGTTCCCCATCTTTTTAAATGTCAGGCCTTTGGATCAAACACCTTTTCAATCTGTTGTTCTACAAATTGGCTGGCAACTTCTATTGTAGCATTAGTAATTTGCCAAACTTCAAGATTATTTGCAGGAAGATTTTAAGACTCAAATGGGCTTCAGTATAGTACAACAGCAGCCAAAGTTTGCATCTATAAAGTATTTTGACAAAGCAGGAGTCAAAGCAATACAGTATAATTGCACACCCTTTAAAAATTCTGTAAATTATATTGTAAAAGAGAGGGAGGAATAGAGAAAGTGGCTTGCCTTAAGATCACTTACTGAATTTATGGCAGAAATGATTGAACTAGAATGAATAAATGAATAAATAAATAAATGATTCAACTAGAGATATCCTGGTTCATAGCTTCTTATATGTGAATATAAATTTGTAGTAACTCTAGAGTGGTATTTCTTAAAGTGTGGTCCGAGGACCCTTGGGGGTCCCCCGAGACCCTCTCAGGGGTCCGCAAAATCAAAATTATTTGTCAGATATTGAAGATATTTGCAAACATTTAAAACAATGTCACTCTTCTCATTATTATTTTTTATTTTTAAAAAATATAGGGTTTTTCATGGAAAATATTTATGTAAATATCTAATGGGGTTAATATTGTTATTTTTACATAATTCAATAAATAGATATTCTACGAATGCATCCATTTTAATTTTTAATACAGTAAATATCAATAAATATAACCCATACAAACGAAAACTCTTTTGGGGTCCTCCATAATTTTTAAAAGTGGGAAGGGATCCTGGGAGCAAAAGGTTTAAGAAACACTGCTATAGAGTATGTCCTCCCCTCTCTCACTGCACTGAATACATTGTAATTTGAGAGAAATTCCTACCACATCCAATGTGTTGGTTCACTCTGCGGGCAAATAAGATATTGTCCTAGACGAACACCATAAAAAAACTTAACAGCCGCCCTTCTTGGTACCTCTTTCCTGACCTGGCTACTTTACAGTATTTAA